ACGGTGCAACATGTCATGTGTTGTTCAACTGAGGTTTTATTTTCCAAATTTTAAGACCTGGAAAGAACCAGTTATTTTTTTTTATTATGTTCTGATAAGGAAAACCATGGAATTCAATAGGGTGTCCTAACTTTTTCACTTTTTTATATATATATCAAATCGGTCCCATTGCAGGAATTCTTGGGGAGGTCCTTGGCACTAAAATGTTGTAGGTAACAATATACTGGTCATCAAGGAATAACAACCCAAAAGTAGGGTTGCTCCGATCAGGATTTTTGAGGCCGATCGCCGATCACAGAAAGCAGTATCTGCCGATACCAATCTTTTTAAAGCCTTCTTTTTATCATTTATAACTATTTATAGTGATACTCCAATCAGGATTTTTAGACATTTATTCAGGGTAGGCCTGTCATGATAACTTTTTGTTCTGCGATATATTGCCCCAGAAATAATTGCGATAAGCGATTATTATTGTCATTGTAAAGGCCATTTTATGCCACTGAATATATAATCATAATGTAACAGCATAATAATGCAAGAAGGCCTACACACTTCCAAATGACAACAAACTTTAAATTTTTAAGAATATTTAGATCATGTAAATTAATTATCAAAATATTAGATACCTTAAACTTGAATAAATAGTAAATAAACATAAAAATTATTGAGGTCATGTTCATATATTGCGCGATAAGTCGATATATTGATTGCGACAGGCCTAATTCAGGGCCTGAATTTCATTTTTGAAAAAGGGGGGAATTGCCCTCTTAGGTGACTCTTGTGAGAGGGGAAGCAGCACGGACTGTGCTTTCACAGAAGAGTCCACTACTGATCCGTGGCTGTTTAACCACAAACACAACATTTATCCATTATTTTGATTTCAATTCCCCTCTTAGGTGACTCTTGTGAGAGGGGAAGCAGCACGGACTGTGCTTTCACAGAAGAGTCCACTACTGATCCGTGGCTGTTTAACCACAAACACAACATTTATCCATTATTTTGATTTCAAATCCAAACATTGTCACTGAAAATGCTTTTTCAGCATTGCAGTTATTTTTTTACACAGTACAGTAATACCATCTTTCAAAGACATGTTTAAACACAATAAATATAAGTAACACATTATTCAATGCGTTTTACTTTTGCATTTACTTCTAGACTTATATATTAAGTTGATCAAGCAAGTGGCAAAACATTTAAACTACTTTTCTTACGTTATCACAAACTTACCATTGACAGAATATGCATTTATGGTGTAATTACTACATTTTCGTGTCAATCCATGTTCATATTTACTGCAAATAATGTGCTGTTACTTTAATTCAGCGCTTGCAGCGCAGAAATAGACTCGGTGCGAAACGATCTCTGCACTGTTGCAGACGCGCCACTACTGGAACGCACTGCTGGACCGCAACAGTGTGCACGCTTTATTAATCCGTTAACATGAGTGCGGAAAAAATACGCACCACATTCGCACTGCAAACGGAGTAATGTGAACCTGGCATTATGTTTGCTGCGAGTGTGCATGAGCATGAGCGTACGGTCTCCAGGAGAGCGTGTGAGCGCTGAATGGTTAAACACTGGCAATAATTAAAAAGTAATGCAATTTATAAACTTTAGTGACGATGTGACACTGCCTCGATAGTGCAAGTGACAATTCTTGTGTCAGCTGTGCAGCGTGCAGCTCGCTTATAGATAGACGCGATGTGTGGTGATTTGAAGCCATTTGCGTATTTTTGAGAGAGAAAGAGAGAGAGAGCCAGAGACTGAGATGGTGCTGCTGCATGTCGTGCCAAACCTCTCATGGCAGCGTCATCAGCTTGAGATCGTTTTTTTGAGATCGGCCTTTTTAAGAGACCGCCGATCAATCATCCCATTGTGATAGCCGATCAATCGGAGCACCCCTAC